GCCGAGGGGGGAGCCTCGCGCCCCCGGCCGGGCCCAGCTGCGCACGTCCACCCACCACCCCGGATGGATGGATGGCAGCGGACTCCGCGCGCCCCAGGGGCCCCGGGCAGCCCCCCTGCAGCCGTGAGGCCCTGGGGTCAGCCATCATCTCCGGCCCCCCACCCCACCCCAGCCCCAAGTTCGTGCACACACACCCCAGATCTCACCCGTGGATGGCTGGAGAGGGGCAGGTGGTCCTCCATCCGTCCAGGAGAGAGAGGTTGTTGGCAGGTGCGGCTGGAGCTCTGAGGGGTGTGTGTGTGTGTGTGTGTGTGTGTGTGTCTGTGTAGGAATGGCTGCTCCAGACTGGGAAGCAATCGTAGAGGGAAAAGGAATGGGCTAGCCTGCTCCCTGTGCGGTCCTCCAGGCTGCCCTGCCTACCAGCACCGGTGTGCTCTCCCTGACCCTTTTGTGCGTGCCCCGGGTGGCCCCGGAGTATCCTTCACACACGGCTTTTACAGATGCATGCCAAGTGAGGGGTGTGTGTGTGTGTGTGTGTGTGTGTGTGTGTGTGTGTGCGCACCAGTACTGGAGCTTGACTTGAACTCAGGGCCTTGGGCACTGTCCCTGCATGTCTTCTAGCACTCTGCCACTTGAGCCACAGTGCCACTTAGGGTTTCTGGGTAGTTCACTGGAGATCAGAATCTCACCGACTTTGCTGCCCAGGCTGACATTGAACCGAGATCCAGGCGGAAGGGGGCAGGCTGGGGGGAGGGGGTGTCAGTTTCCTGAGTAGCAAGGATTAAAGATGTGAGCCACTAGTTCCAGACAGACACACCAGGCTATCTTGAGCAACACGGGCAAGAGCCCAGTTCTGGCCACAGGCTAGCTCAGGCTCTGCAAATCTACACACACACACACACACACACACACCTACTTTTGCCTCCTTGGTACATCAAGCAAGCTGGCCAGAACTCTGAAGAAGTCATTCCAACCTCTCCCTCAACTAGGTCCTACTGACCTGCCCATGCGGAAGGATGTTTTCACAGGAGTGCAACGCAGACTGGGATATACTTGCTCTTTCTCTTGCATGTTCCTCGCTACTACTGAGCTCACATTACAGAAAGGGGTTTTCTCTTGTTTTCATTTTGGTTCCAGCACCAAGGTTGGAAGTCATTGCCTCCCACTCTTACTTGGCTTTTTCTGCACCATCCACGAGCCACAACTCTCCTTCCGACTGGTCAATTGGACCTAAGAGTCTCGCAGACTTTCCTGCTGGGGCTGACGCCCAAATGATTCTCCTCCGATCTCAGCCTCCCGAGGAGCTAGGATTCCAGGCGGGAGGCACCACGCTCTAGAAAGGAGGTTTGAAGATTATTAGTGTCCAAGATCCTGGCTGAAATAAGCTTGGGAAAAAATACACCAGGTCTGGGCTCAGATATGACTGGCTTTGATACCCAGCCGCCCCTCCCCGCAGCTGCAAGGCCCTGTCCGATCCTCGTCCGTGGAACGGGGATATAATTCCTGCTTCGGAGATTGCTGTCTCTAGTGGGTGGGTTGGCAGAAGGAGGGGCGGGGAGGCTCTAGGGCTGGGCCTGCAACTTTGTGGGGCAGGGACAGGAAGACTGAGTTTCTTCCAATCTCCAGAAGGGGGCCTGGTACCCCTGCGAGCTGATTCTGCTCTGGACATACAGTCCCCGTTTCACAGATTGGGAAATTTAAGACTCAGAAAGTGGAAAAATCCACCCTGAGTCCCAGAGCTAATCGATAACCGAGCTGAGGCTCACAGTGCTTACTCTGGATCTGACTGTCTCAGAAACCAGGTATACGGGTGGCTCACGCCTATCATCCTAGCTACTCAGGAAGCTGAGATCTAAGGATCACGGTTGGAGGCCAGGCAGAAAAGCCCATGAGACTCTTTATCTCCACTGGCAAAAAGCCAGAAGTGGAGGTATGGCTCAAGCGGTAGAGCACCAGCCTTGAGGTAGGAGGATGGAGTCAATTGAGAGTGTAAGACTCCCCCCCCCCAGCTGTTCATGCTGCAATATGTTCATGCACACACGTAAGAGAATAACACCTGTCTGCTATGTGTGCAAACTCTGCACACAAGTAGCACTTGACTTGCACAAAGGTCACATGCGACCTTTATCGGCCTTAGGTCAGAAGGATAACGCGTGAAGGGTTGGCAATGGGTCATCTCCGCCGGATCATCTCAGTGTGCGAGACAAATTAGGGATGGCTGACCGCACTTATGTTGGACAGGTGCCCTAATGCCCCAGATTTGTGTTCTGGGAGAATCTAGAAGTCCAATTCTCACGCGAAATCTTATATTCAAATATTGATCGGTTTGCTTCTTTATTTAACATTGACTTATAAAGCATCTCCAAAAGGCCCGATTTGGCTGAGTTTTTTGGGGGTGTTTTATTTTTTTGTCTCTGTCCCAGGCCCTTCCCTACTCTACCCATCCCCCCCCTCCCACCCTCTCCTAGGAGCACAGCTGGGATCTGACAGGCGGAGTAGATAAAAACAGGCCTGGCATGTACACAGCCCAGCCCTAAAGTGAGTTGAGCTGTGCCACGCACACTCCACATCTTAAATCTTACAGCAGCCTGGTGCGGGGTGGGGGCAGGGGAAGGGTTCTTTGGGGTTCTTTGTTGGTGGGACTGGTGTGTGGGGACCCCAGGACAGGGTTACCAGGGCTGACATGAGGGGACTGAAGATCCAGAGCAAGCACCCCTTCTTTCACTGATTTCCCTCCCCTCCGGGCTGTTTCTTCTTTTCATCTGCCCAGATGTGGTATAGACCAACCCCAAGGATGAGATGATCGCAGGGTACAAGCAGGTGACCTCAAAGTCAAAGCTGACCTACAGAACATTCATTTTGTTTAGCCTTTTAAAATTGATCCTAGCCTCGGCACCAGTGGCTCACGCCTGTCATCCTAGCTACCCAGGAGGCTGAGATCTGAGGATCACAGTTCCAAGTCAGCCTGAGCAGGAAAGCCCATGAGACTCCTATCTCCAATGAACCACCAGAAAACTGGAAGTGGCTCTGTGGCTCAAGTGGTAGAGCGCTCGCCTGGAGCTGAAGAGCTGAGGGACAGTGCCCAGGCCCAGAGTTCAAGAGCCATGACTGACTGGGATTACAGATGGCTCATACCTGTAATCCCAGCTACTCAGGAGGCTGAGATCTTGAGGATTGAGGTTCGAAGCCAACCCAGGCAGGAAAACCTGTGAGACTTTAATTAATCACCAAAACCCTGAAGTGGCGCAGTGGCTCACCTTGAGCAAAAGAGCTCAGGGACAGCAAACACCCAGACCCTGAGTTCAAGCCCCACCATGACCAAAAACAAACAAACAAACAAAAAATTGAACTTCGCTGGAGGCTGATGGCTCATACTAGGAATCCTAGCTACTCAGGAGGCTGAGATCTAAGGATCATGGTTTGAAGCCAACCTGGACAGAGAAGTCCATGAGGCTTTTATCTCCAGTTAATCACAATAAATAAATAAAATAAGCTAGAAGAGGAGCTACGGCTCAAGGTGTATCGAGTGCCAGCCTTGAGTGAAAAAAATCAAAAGGACAGCATCCTGAGTTCAAGCCCCAGAATATCTGTTTTTAAAAAGAAATCCAGATTTCTGGCTTTGCTTGGTAAATTAGGAGGCCTGTGACATTCCCTTCTGGGCTTAAAACATTCCTGGGTTTTCCAGTATCCATAGGACTGGCCATCCACTCCTCCCCCCCCCGGCCTCTCCTGATTGGCTGCTGCTGGCCCCTCCCCTTTTTCTTCTACTCCCCCCCCCCCTCCTTTGTCGGGAGGTAGCATCTAGTATGGGGAATGTTACATTATTTTCTTTGCTCCCACTTTATTGCCTACCCTCTACCCAATCACACTCCCTGCTTTTTCCTAACCCACAGCGTGGTACCCAGGAGGTTGCATGAGTGCCCAGTGTGTGTGTTGTTAATGGACAGATACCTCCAGTTTGCCACACACACACACCCCAACTCCTCTCTCTTCCCTCCTTCTCTCTGAGGATGTCAGGAGGCATTAATCCTCTCCCTTGCTCTATTGTTTTTCTTTTCCTTTTCTCTCGGGCTGGTACTGGGGCTTGAACTTGAGGCCTCGGCACTGTCCCTTAGCTTTTTCACTCAAGGCTGGCAACTGTACCTCTTCAGCCACACCCCCCACTTCCAGCTTTTTGCTGGAATTAATTGGAGAAAAGAGTGTCTTGGACTCTCCCTTTTTAGTCTGGCTTTGAACTGCAATCCTCAGATTTCAGCCTCCTAAGGAGCTAGGATGACAGGTGAGAGCCATCGGTCCCTGGCTAAAAGATTTCGATTTTGATCATTAAAAAAAAAAGGCAAAACCAATGAAAGCAAGTTTCCTGTCAATAATGTGCTGACTGCATCCATGCACCTGCAGTTCCATGGTCCCTAGATGCAATCTCTGAGTCGGGGTCCCACAACACATTGCAGATATCTGAAGAAAAACAACCCAATCTTACACAGGCACCGGTGGCTCACTCCTGCAATCCTAGTTACTCAGGAGCCTGAAATCTGAGGATCACAGTTCAAAGCCAGCCCGGGCAAGGAAAATCCGTGAGACTCTGATCTCCAATGAAACACAGGAAGACCGGAAGTGGCGCTGTGGCTCAAGTGGTAGAGCGCTTGCCTTGAGCTGAAGAGCTGAGGGACAGTGCCCAGGCTCTGAGTTCAAGCTCTATGACCAACAAGAAGAAGAGGAGGAGGAGGAGGGAGAGGAGGAAGGGAGGGAGGGAGGGAGTCCAGGGTGAATCTGGAGTATCTAAGGCCATGAAGAAGAGTTGCTTGGAGACCCAGCTACTTGTTGGATTTTCTTCAAACTTAGTTCACCCCATCTCCAGCACTGCTACCCAGCAACCTTTGCTCCAGCCAATGCCCTTCAGGTCACCCTGGCCATCACCCACTATAGCCAATTGCTGCCTGCAATCCCCACCCCTGCACGACCTTACAGCAGGACTATTGCCAGTGCTCGCAGCCGAGGGAGCCGAGTGATGGATGAAGGATCCCTTGAATAGGAGCTTGAATGGGGATGCCTGAGCTGCTTCCACCTCGGGCCTGGCCAGCCCCTCTTCCTCCAGCCAGGCCTGCAGGTATCCGTGGCCTACCTTGACCAGACACCATCCACGCAGGCATAAACAGGTAGCCTACAGTCATGTTTCCTTTGGCCCACTTAAGTGTTTGGGCTTCTTATTTTAAATCTTGAATTCATTAGCATATATATATATATATATATATATATATTTTTTTTTTACATGAAGGTCTAGATTTCCCACTTCTCTCAAGACACTTAGAAGAGCAAGTTTGAGCCGGGCACTGTAGCTCGCGCCTGTAATCCCAGCTACTCCGGGATGCTGAGAGCTGAGGGTCGTGGTTCACAATCACCCAGGCAGGCCGACAGGTCTGTGAGATTCTTAGGTTCCCGTGAACAAGCAAAAAGCCGGAAGTGGAGCTGTGGCTCAAGTGGCGGTGCACCAACCCTTGAGTAAAAAAAGCTAAGTGAGAGCCGGAAGCCATGAGTTCAAGTCCCTGTACACACACACACACACATGCACGCACACACACACACCTTCACAGGATCACTGGATGTGAGGGATCAAGATTGTGACATGGTTGGATTTGTGTGTTCAACCCAGTGCCCCTGTGGACAGGAGTGCTTGGACTGCTGGGACAATCAAGATGGAGACCATTCCCCACCCAGTCTCCTCCTCTGAAGCCTGAACATGTCCTCTCTCTGTGTTTCAGAACTGGACGGCAGCCGTGGCCTCCAGCATGGCCGCGAGCGTCGATGGACAGCGCTAACGATCCAGCCTGGCTCCAGCCTTCCCGGGTCCCTCAGCTCCTCGCAGGATGGGAGGCTGGGCACTGGGCACCCGGCCATGAAGGATCACAGCGCCGCTCAGCTCAAGCCCAGCCCCTCCCCGCTCAGGGATACCCCTGATCAAAACCCAGCCATGGACTCAAGACCCAGCGGCCCCAGTGGGGTTGAGGAAGGGGCCCTCTGCTCTGAGGGTCCTTCTGGGGGCCTGGCCTGTTCTTCCTCTACCTGCACCCCTCCCCCAGGACCCACCACCAAGGAGTGCCTGGGAGCAGACGCCGCCTTGGTCTTAGGGAGCCCAGAGACTGCTTTGGCTGGGCTGCCAGAGCCCAGGTCCCCCGTAAGCCCGGTCCCCACCTCCTCGGAGAACAGAAACCCCACGTTCTTGGAAGAGATGGATTCTAAATCCTCCAAGCAGGCTCTCCCCGCTGCCGTGGGGAAGGAAGAGTCTGGATTCTCCAAGGCAGAGCCTCTGTTGGTAGAAAAGAGTGAGCCTGCCGTCTCTACTCCGGGCGATGCTTCTGGAAGGATGGTCTCTCCACATGCCAAGAAGGAGGAGCCTGAATCAGTGGGAAAGGCAGAGCCTGGATGCACCGGCGAGGTAGACCTGGTGTCTCCAAGCCACCAGGGCGGCTCTGAGTCTTTGCAAAAGGTGGGTGCTGTGTTCCCAAGCAAGGAGCAGCCTAAGCCCCCCCTATCTTCAGGGGAGATGGTCCCTGCTCCAACGAGGAAGGAAGATGTCATGTCTTTGGGGAAACACCCTGGAGAGGTGAATCCTGCATCCTTAGGAAGTATCGAACACACATGCACAGCAAAGACCCAACGCACAGCCACAGGACAGACAGGAGATTCTGGACTCTCGGTGGAGCCTGAATCTTCTGGAATAGGGGATCCTGAGCCCCCCAGAAGGGGAGAGGATACCAAACACTTGAGAGCTGCAGCACTTCCATCTCTGGGAAATGCAGAAACCAGGTCCCCCACAAGAGAGGACCGTGGGTCCCTGGGAGAGGGGAGCCCCACCTCCTCAACAGAAGGACATCTTGTACCTGTGAGGATGACCACCGCTGGAGAGATGGATCCTGGGAAAGACCCCACATCTGCCATGAAAAGTGGGGGTTCTGGACCTTGCGGTGAGCCAGGCGCTGTCTCCTCGGGCGAGGTGGAGGGGCTGGTGTCCCCAGCAAAGCCACCCCAGCCCTCGTGTCCAGGACAGGCAGAAGAACAGGGGTGGGCAGTGGCGAAGAGGGGGACCACTGACCCCTCGGGGAACCCCGAGTTTCCTGGGAGGGCGGAGCCCACGGCAGCCCTGGGAAATGTCACAGCGTCGTCGTCGTCGTCGTCGTCGTCGTCGTCATCTTCTGGCAAGGCCAGGCCTGTGTCCTCGGGTCCTGGGGGACCCCGATCCCCGGGGACAGGGGGTCCCCCGTGCGCTGTCGAGAACATCCCAGGGCCGGAAGGGAAAGCGGAGCCCGGGGCCTCGGCCCCATCTGGAGACCCCAGGAACGCCAAGGAAAAGGGGGGTCTCCCGCTGACCCCCGACATCCAGGGGGACCCCACCACGGAGGAGGCGGAGATCGGGGCTTCCGGGAAGGCCCAGCCCGAGGCCGGGGACCCTCGGGCCGCCCTGCGCCCGGGGCAGGAGCGCACCCCATCTTCCCAGCCGCGGGGGGCGGCGGGGTCCCCCGCATCCC